CGGGCCCACCCTGCTCCCCTCCAAGCCCTGCAGATTCTCTTCGGCACAGCTGGAGAAGATCTTCAAGGCCCAAGGTAACACCGCCCGTGCGCTGAGCTCCGTCACCGTGCTGCCAGGCCAACCTGCCAGGCCATGGCCTTGGCTGAACTGGCAGGTCAGATGCTGCAGGAAAACCCCCTTTTATCCCTGCTGAACGAGATCAGACTGGCGTCGGACCACATTCTGCGTGTGTCCCGCTGCGCAGCGCTGGCTCTGGGGAAAGGAATGGCTTTCACTGTTGTGGCGCAGAGGCACCTGTGGCTCTGTGGCTAATGCTCTCTGATGTTCCCGACAAGGACAGGGCGGCCTACTTGGATGAATCGATAACGCCTACAGGACTGTTTGGTCAAGCGCTTGACGGCATCCAAACCAAATTTGAACAGAGGAAGAAGCAGGCTGAGGCACTCTGCTGCATCGTCCCCAGACGCGACGCGAGGCCCAAGGCTCCGAGCACATCCAGGTCCGCGTCTCATCCTCCTCCGTTCAAAAAGGCGGCGGCGCCCGGGACTTCACAGGCCCGGCCCGCTGAACCTTCTAGCAAGCTGCAGCCTCCCCGACAATCGGCATGGAGCAATGGCCCCCTTCCGAGTCAGCAGGATAGTTCAGCGTCTCGGAAGAATAAGTCAAAGTCCTCCTAACAGCAGGGCTGTCTTCACAGGGACTTCATAAACAGGGAGACAATGTTCAGCTGCAGTTGAAAAGACATTTACATGTTTGTGTTTCAGAAAACAGCCCCAAGAGGCGTCAGGTTTCAAATGTTCTGTCTTCTCTGTCCCAAAAAATAAACAAAAAACCTGTAGCCCCCTCCTTGGGTGCCCATGTGTGTTTTAAAATGCACTACTGCAATAAAGAGTTCTGCAAGTGTTGTCAATGTGTCATTAAAGAATTATTTTTGTGCACAAATAAACACAAACAGTCGGCGTCAGTCAATAATGTTGTCCCTTCTCCATCCAGTGGAGGGCAGCAGCGACACGTCTCCAACAGTAAGGCAAGTCAGTCGCTTAGCAACGCGACTCCCTCTCCGTGGGTACAAAGAACTGTTGCTATGGGTTACAGACTGCAGTTCCACGTCAGGCCGCCTCGCTTCCGCGCAATTGTAAACACAGTGGTGACAGCCGAGGCAGCCGCCATTTTAAAAGAGGAAATTTGCATGTTGCTAACAAAGAGAGCTATTCGAGTGGTTCCTGCTGCAGAAACACAAAAAGGTCTGTACAGCCGTTATTTTCTTGTTTCGAAGAAAGGGGGCGGCCTGCGGCCTATTCTGGATCTGAGAGTGTTAAACCGGTACCTTCAAACATACAGGTTCAAAATGTTAACGCTCAAACAGCTAATTCACTCGATCAGCCCGGACGATTGGTTTGTGGCCATCGACTTAATGGATGCCTATTTTCACACAGCGATTCACCCGGAGCACAGACAATACCTCAGGTTCGCCTTCGGGGGTGTAGCCTACGAGTATCTGGTGCTACCGTTTGGTCTGTTGCTAGCACCCCACGCCTATTCAAAGTGTGTAGAAGCTGCGTTGGCTCCCCTCAGGGAAAGGGGGGTCCGTCTGTTAGCATATTTGGACAACTGGGATCGCAAGCTCCAGAGAGCAAGCACTGGATCAGCTGTCTCAGGTTCTTTCACACATTCAGGCTTTAGGGTTTTCAGTAAACACCCAGAAAAGTCTATTCTGGTATCTGTCAGTCTATTCTGGCACCAAGTCAGCAGTTTTCGTTCATCAGACTATAAATCTTCTCCTTGTCAAGCAGGGCTCGTCTCTCAGAAAACAGAGCGGCTGCGTTTCACTGCTGCTTAGCTCAGTTTCAACTGGGACGCAAACTGAGCTTCAGAACCATACTACAGTTACTGGGAATGATGCTTCCATGATTTCAGCAGTAGCACTCGGGCTGTTAAAAATGCGCCATTTTCAGACGCCTCCCTGAAGGGTTGGGGAGCTCTGTGCGACGGYGCGACGGTGAGGGGAACCTGGACTCCACAACAGTCCAGGCTCYACRYAAACTGCCTAGAATTGTTAGCAGTCCTGTTAGCACTGAAACATTTTTGTCCAGTTCGGGAGAACCATCATCTTCTAATCAGAAYGGACAACACAGCAGTGGTCTCTTATACAAACAGACAAGGGGGGACTCGCCCCCTTCCTCTGCTGAACCTGTCTCACAATCTTTTACAGTGGAGCAGTGTTCATTTTCTGTCTATCAGAGCCATTCATGTTCCGGGAAGACTGCATCTAGGTCCAGACCTCCTCTCCAGGGGCGGACCTCTAGCAAAGGAGTGGTGGCTGCATCCCTCTGTTGTGGCCCAGATTTGGGTTTTGTTTGGCAAGACGACAGTAGATCTGTTTGCATCCAGAGCAAACGCACACTGTCCAATATTCTTTTCCATGACAGAGCAGAGCGCTCCTCTGGGAGTGGACGCCCTAGCTCATCCTTGGCCCAATGTATTTCTGTATGCGTTTCCCCCAGTGGAAATGATACCACTTGTACTAGAGAGGGTGCGCAGACAGAGCCTGTCTCTGATTCTAGTGACACCCCGCTGGCCAGTGAAGTCTTGGTACGCCGAGGGAATCAGCTTGCTAGCAGCTCAACCCTGGCA